CGGGGCTGCTGCCGCTCGGGGGCTGCTGTTCAGAGCTGCCCTCGCCGCAGGTTCAAAACATCAGTGCTTTGATAGTGGAGCTTTCTTCCTACTGTGCCCGCATTAGCCTGCACTAGCATCGAGGAGCTGCTGCTCTGCTGTGGTGCGGGTTTGTTTGTTTGGGTTTTTTGTTTTGTGGTTTTGGCTTTTTTTATATAAATCTCTATAATAGGAAGGCCAAAGCATCTCTGGATTTGGGCAGTGCGTGTGTCTTTTTTCTAAACGATACAGAATTACTGTTTTGGTTCTGATCACAAACGTGTGATAGTAAAAAGCCTCTTGGTGAGAATAACATAGATAAAAAGCAATTGCAAAAGCTGCTGTGATAAAGATACTATGTTGTGAATGACACTTGAGGAATACATGTGAAGGTATCGTGCCAAAGAAACCAAAGTGCATGTGCTTACAGAAGTTAGGCCTATAGTGTAAACTCTAGATAAGAATGGGCAAAACTTCTGAGGAGAGACTTTGCAGTAGTGTTTACTGCTTCTAAACCACCGTGCTTGAATAATGACAATAAAAGCTACTGAACTGTGAATATCAAACTTTAGCTTGATAAATGTTGATGAAACTACAGAAGTAGTGTATCTTTGTAGACTGGGAGTGTGGCTGTGTGTCAGCTGTAACCCAGTAATCAAATGAGGCCTCTTATTTAGTGAAGGCTTAAACACTGTTGAAATACTGTCTAAATTCTAGGTTTGCCTAGGAAAGCTGTTTGCTGGTGGAACTGTGTAGCTCTTCACCGCTTGTCCTAGACTGTGGATGTAGTGGGCTTGGGATGTGGCTGGATTTCTTTGCCTGTCTTTCACTATTTTTTTTTTTATTTCTATGTATAATCTAATGAAACTGCCTATTTCTTTGACAGTGTGATTCTTATCTTTGGCCACAGGTGATGACTAACATCTCCAGTGTCTGTGCTGTTTAACAGGGAGACTAACATGTCTGGTTATGTGGTGTTGAATGGTTATAGGCTAGCTGAGTTACTGGCACTGCTGTCACCCCAGCCCGCTGTGGGAGCCTGTAGCTTGATGACCTGGCTATAGCTTTCTTTGGGCTTGAGGTACAGGAAGCTTTCAATTTATTTGAAGGAATAATTAAAACTATATTTCCTTCAAAATGTCTGGCATTACCACAGTGTTAAAAGTGCAGCTTCACTTCATACAGAGGCTGAGAGGAGGGTGGTGGTGGGACTCTGCTGTGCTCAGTGGAGCCAGCAGCAGCTGGGATAGCTTTTATCCCAAAACAGAGCAGTGTTCACCAGAAGCGCCAAAATACAACCTGCTAGGTGTGCATCTGCTATTAGGGAATATCTTCAAACGGGAAGATACTCTGAATGAAAACTAGTGCATGTCTGAGATTTCTAAACTGTATCTGTAATTAGGCATGCGTAAAAGAAGATACCTTTAACAACCAAAAATTAACTTGGAAACACCTACAGGGAAGTATTCCCAACAGCTCAGTGGTGGCATGAAATTCTTGTTCAGTTTCAGTTTAGAATCTCTGATCCCCCTGGAACAAAGATCTGTGTGATTAGTGTGTTCATAGCAGTTAGTAAAGCAGTATCTATACTTGAGGGCTTAGTGGTTGAGTAAGCTTATGCACACTTAACTTCTGAGACTTCCAGCAAAGCTTATTCAAAGAACTGTTTCAGCTGACTTACCAAAACAAGCGATGCCACCTTTCTTTTCCTGGTTTCCCTAGCTGTAATATAAAAATAAGGGCATTTGTTGTTTGTAAAGGCTAACAACAGTACTGTGAAAACTTGTATTTCAGGTCCTAAGACAATTGTATGAAGTTGGTATTAAGCAATCGACTCTTTGCTTCATGAGTAATTCTGTTCATTACACCAGGCTGTTGAGAAGGTCAACCACCTTTACTAAAGAGCTTGAGACCAAACCAGTAATGATAGAGTTAATGCTGTGGTTAGACTAGGTAACTTGAGGCTGCAGGTATTTATCATTATACCTTTTCTAATAGATCTGTGTAATGTGTTTTTTTCAAATACTGCAATTGAATAAAGAGGGAATACAAATTTGATAGCTTTGCAGGCACAGAAAGGAATTTTTGTTAGCACCAAGCCCTGTGCTGTGGGAAACTGCAGAACTTTACTATGGCATTTTCTAGTCAACTGCTAACTAGCAGCAGCTCATTCTGATCTCTGCAGCTCTCCTGGTAGCCTGGCTCTTGGAAGCTGATGTGCATTGCTGGCATGAAATAGTTCTTTGATTTGGGCAGACTAAAATCTTGTCTTGGCAATTGAGTGTAACAGCTGAACCATCAAGACTTCTAACTACCATTATCATTTGCGAAGCATTGTTTAAATTAGTTTGTATTTCTAAAAGATGAACAGTTAAACTATTATAATTTTCCTAATAGAACGACTTCTTTACATTTTATCTCTCAGCATTTAACCTTTGACAGGTTGAATAACCTTTGGAAAAAAAACCTCCAAAACAAAAAACCAACCATGTTTTAATTTATAGCTCTCAATTAACGGAATAGTTAACTCTAAGACTAAGAAAAGGTAGCTGAAGATGTGGATGTGATGATTTAGATCCTTTAATACAAAAGACCAGCAGTCTAAGGTTTTGGGGGGGTGGGTGATTATTTTTTTTGGCCAGAAAGTTAATTGCTTTGGGTATTTTTACCTGTAAATGTTAATAGTGCTTGTACCTCTTCAGTTGCCCTTTGTTTTGATGCTACGTTGTGTACCCAAAATCAAGGAAGTGTTCTGTAATGAAAGTCTTAATGTTTAAATGTTAGGCGTACTTATCCTCTTCCTGTGCATGGCACTGCCTTAAATGTCAGGAGTTATTAATGTACTTAATTATAGATGTTCCAAAATAGACTGCTTTTAAAGGTATTCTAATAAATCTATTAAAAATTTAAATACTTCTATAGCTGCTTTTTGTTGTATAATTAAGTCTTTTAGTCAAAAGTCAAGGTAATACTACTGGTCAGCCTTCCTGGCAACAGGTACCTTTAGCAAATGAGATGTCTTAATTCTTTTTGAGTGAATATATTGCAACTGCAGAGCTCTAATCATCTCTTTGTTGTTGCTGCCAGAAACTCCAGACGAAAATGGCAAAACTCAGCGAGCTGACAGTCTGATTATGAAGAAGATAAAGAAAAAAAAGAAAAAGAAACATCGGGAAGATGTGAGGGGGAAAAGGCTGAAGATGTACAACAAAGAAGTGCAGACAGTGTGTGCTGGACTCACTCGCATTGACAAAGAGACTCTGTCTCAAGGACAGTGTGATAACTTAGAAATGAACAAGGAATCCTTCAGGTATCTGAAGGATGAGCAGCTCTGCAGACTGAATTTGGGTATGCAGGAGTATCGGATACCCCAGGGAGTACAGACACCATTTGTGACGCACCAGGAGCATTCTGTTCGTAGCAGCTTCTTGAAGACTGGCACTAAATTTAGTAACTTCATTCATGAAGAGCATCAGTCCAATGGTGGTGCTCTGGTCCTTCATGCTTACATGGATGAACTCTCATTTTTGTCTCCAGTGGAGATGGAGAGGTTCGCAGAAGAGTTTCTTGCATTGTCATTCAGTGAAAATGATAAAAATGCAGCCTACTATGCTTTAGCCATAGTACATGGAGCAGCTGCCTATTTACCAGACTTCCTGGATTACTTTGCTTTTAACTTTCCTAACACTCCAGTGAAAATGGAAATTTTGGGCAAGAAGGACATTGAAACAACCACAATTTCAAATTTTCACTCTCAGGTAAGAACTGTTTAACGGCATAAAAGTTGCAAAATGTGTAGATTTGATTAATCTCCTGAATCCAGAGCAGGGAATGGCCTAAAATCAGCGAGGCACACTTTTTTTTTTTTTTTTCCTAAGCAAATGAAAGAAAATGCTGGGATGGCTGCTGCTGTCCTGTTTATTCCTGTCTGCTTGAAGCTCTTTTGTGCCCACTGGTAGCTGGTGAATCATGTTTCAGACACTAGTAGCTGTGACCTGCAGGAAGATCTGCACTGATCTTCTTGCAGACTTTCAGTTCAGCTCGTACACTTGGGAGAACACTGACCTTGGTCAAAACCATACACAAGTCTGTATTAAGAGTTGTATAGATTGCAAATATTAACATGACTTTTTCTATCCAATAGAAATATTGAATAGAACTAAATAGATCTGGTTTGTTTTTTTAATGGCACTACTTTTCAGGTTTCAGTATATCATTCATAGCATACAAGTTTTTTTTTAACATTTTAATTCTGTTGGTGGCTTATACTGTCTGTTTGAACTTTCCACCTTCAGGGAGGTGGTTAGATTAGCTTTTCAACTGCCTTTGGTAAAGGCTTTTATATACTGCCTTGTCTTTGACAGTAGGTTTAAACTATCTTAAATTCTCAATCTGTATCTCCATGTAACTTAAATGGATGCAAAAGTAATATCTAAGTGAATTTCAAGATTGCCACATGAAAACCTCTTGCATTTGACTCATGTGATCAAACTTAGGAGTATCTGTGAACATATAGCAGCATTACAGTTTAGATAATTTGGTTTCAGATATAATCAAACCTCTTCCTCCTTAGTCTAGTCTGGGAACAGATTCAAACTGCTGATTACTTTAAAAGTCTTCATTCAAGACCTCAATTACTTTTACTGGTTTACCTGCTGGAAGGAAAAACCTGAATCTCTGTAGTGGGGTGTGCTGCAGTACCATTGGAACAGACCTCCTTCAGCAGCAAGTCTTGAGCTGGTGATGCCTGTGGATAGGCTGCCTGAAGCTTTCCAAAGTTTACCAAATGCCTATAAGCAGGATTTGCATTGGAGGGATGATTACTGCTCTACAGAAAGCTACTGCTTGGTCACTTGTGAAGCATGAGTATTTTCCAGCATTTATCATAGGTACCATTAAATCAGTAATTCTGATGCTTTGCTTATTACTTTGACAGTGAATGAACTTGCCCTAAACCAGCTTCTGTTCCATGACTAAGTAACCCGTTGCACGGACAGAGCTGCATCCTGGCGTGTGGCACTCTGCACACAGGCTGCCTGAGCACACAGCCTGCTGCTCCTGGCTGTGGGGGACCCCCTGAAATGGCTGGACAGTGCCAACTGGTTATTTAACAATTACACTTTTACTTGGTGAATGCCTCTGTCTTGTGAACATGAATAGCTTATACTATAAATACCTGTGAGGAATGTATGGTAATAAATAAGAGGCTTCACTGGGTTATAGTCTGTGCTGGTATTTCAATTAATTCTATTTTAAGTACTGTCTAAACGTGATTAAGCTTGAGTCATGACATAAGATTCAGTTGGTCTCAAACACCTCTGAGCCCAGCTGCAGCATGACCTGGTTAATCCGCTCTTGCTGAAGTTTGTTAGTGCAGCTTACACACTGAGCAAACAGAAGTGGAGTTGTCACCATCCATCCGACAGCTGAAATGGGACTCTTCAGGGAATACAGATGAGGGTAAAGTACCCAGTTCAGGGGTGCATCTAAATGGATGATGATTCAACTGTGGATGCTGCATGCTGCTGAAACTCCCATTTTACAAGGCAGCTTCTCTGTAGCTGGAGAGGGCTGAAACGCTGTGCTGGAGGGAGCAGGGGGCCAGCTGCTGCACCACAGCTCCTCAGCAGTGCTGGGGAGGGATGAACACATTGGCCTGACTTCAGCCTTGGACCTTCCTGTATGAGGAATTGCACAGTACAAAAGCACTTTGTAGTTTTGCCTTTGCAGGTTAAGCATGTTACAGTATTGTTGTATGCTGTAATACTGATACTGTTTTTAATTGAAGATACTCAGTTAAAAGTCTCCTCCTTTCTATGCTGGACCCTCTGTAGGCATGAACTTGTTTCCTGTGCTGAACCATACTGTGACAAAGAGATTTTGAGCACTTGAGTCTGGAGTCCTGGAGACTTGGTGTCAAGAAGTCAAAATCTATCTGTAAACCACAAGTTAACTGAAAAGACAATGTGATCTTTGGGTTGCACAACATGCAGCTGTTTTGTGTACCTCTTCAGACAAACAATTTTGGTAGGAAGTCAGTTCAAAATCAGGACTTTAACCTGGAAGACTTCATAAAAATCTAGTGATAATTAACTCCCTTGCAGGAATAATTCCTTTTTTTTTTTCAGGGTGGTGAAGACAGTGTAACCACCTGAATGTTTGCAACAAAGCATGCCAGTGTGTATTTGTAGTGTAACTGCTTGGTTTCTGTATTTTAAAATAATTAAGCTTCAATGTCCTGGAGTTTGTGCTTGCATTGGCTCTGGCTCATTTCTTCTAATACTTCAGCTCTAAAGGTAGGCTTTAGCTTAGAGCTGTTCACTTGGGCTAAGAGCTTTCAAGACTCAGATGACTGAACAGTAGTTTGTAAGCTTTCTATGCATAAGGGTGTACTTCCAGTTTGAAGTTCTTAGCAGTGCAGCTAGGATGAACTTTTAATTTTGCCTATTGGATGTTTTGGTACAGCTGCTTTTAGAGCTACTCAGTGCATTGGAATATATCTGAACTTGGAAAAACCACTTCTGATTTTTCCCCAAGAAGAAGCTGATCAGCTCCTTGGTCAGTTCTCAATATGGTCCAAAGAACAGTTGAATTGTCACAGAGGGTTCTGGGAACAGGCCTGGAAAGAGTGGGGGAAATGGATTTTGTGGTTTTGCATTAGCTGCTATTCCATCTGGGAAGGTGGTGGGAGAAGCAGTCAGCAGGTGATAGTAGGATAAGTTTTACTACTCCTGCAATGTGCTGTCAGAAAAGGTTTCTCTGTTCCTGACAGCTTTAGTTAATTAACCATGTCACAATTTGGTTGTCTGCCCTGTCTTTTCTTTGAGGAGATCTTGGATTTCAAGAAATGTATTTCTAGTATCTCCTTTGTAGTTCTTGAATTATTCTGTTTCTTCCATTGCATTCCAGTGCATGAAAAAAAGTTGTTAAAGCTTCTAGTTTTTCATTCCCTTTGAAAACAATTATAATACCATATGCACTTTTAATTTTTTAACTTGTGACAAACACGTGTGAAATACTAGTGAGTGTCACCAGGGGGTTTCACTAGAGTGAATCTCCCCTGGAAGTGGTCTGTCTCCATTTGCTGCAGAAGTACCTGGCAGTTCACTGGCTTAAGGACTTAGTTCCCTTAGGTGCACAGGTCTAGGCTAAACTGTGGCTTCCCACTACTGCTGCATTTGAGCTAGCTGGTGAAATTGTTCCACTTCAGTGATGTTAAATATGAACCTGTACCAGTAATCCAGTAGCATCTCGAGATTTAACTTTCTCTTAGGGCAAGAACCAAAAAGAATTAACAGCCTCTGAAGATAGTGCCTGGTTCATAAAATCTGTATGGTCCAAGCCAGACAGTGTCTGTGCTCATTCAGCTGCTGCTGATGCTTTGGTGGAATGGAAGGCCAAGTACTTGAAGTTCTGCAGGTGACTGAGTGTAAACTTCCTCTCATGCAGGTGGAGGTGATGTGGTGCAGCAGCTGTCTTAGGGCTGAGCAATAAAGCTATATGTGTAGTTGTCTTTTGCTTCTACTTGTCTTTTAATTAATCTGTGTGTGTGCAATCAGTGTGGAACTGCCAACTGCATATCAACAAAGCTAAAGAAAGGAGAACTCTGGAAATAGCAGTGAGCTAAACTCCTATAATTAAGAATCTAAATATCTATGGTTGCTGCTAGAGGATAAAATTGCAGCAGCAACTCTTAACTCTTGCTTTATTAGTCTCTCCTAATTTAGCAACTTCATGGAGCAGTTTACATCTGGCTTGTTGGTTAAACTGCAAAACTTAAAAATAAAAAGAAATTAAAACTGAACTGCTTTGTACATGTGAATGGAGTTGTAAAGGGAATCACACCTTCTGAACAAGACTATGACACTGCAGATTGACCAGTAGCCCTCTGTCCTTTGTACCTGTCTCACCACTAAGCCTTGGCTGCAGTTGTTCACCACAAGAATCACTTAACAAATGTAGAGAGCCTGTTGGAAAAGGGATGGGAGGTTGGAGCTTGGACATGACTGACTACACAAACCAGACAAATTACAGCTGAATTTTTGCTCTTCTATGATTGAGTAGCTGCCGTATGGACATAACCCTACTCTGTGGCCAGATGGCATGTTGTAGCTGCAGTCCATGGGAGGAGACAAGAGAAAGCTGGAGCCTTGCCAGCAATTCTCCTCCACTAACAGGGAATTGGCAGGAGAAGTTTCCAGATGACCTGGGAAGTAGGACAGCCTGTGCTACAGAAGATGGCAAAAAGCTTTGAGTGAGATTAAAGTGTTGCTGGCCACAGCAGTGACAGCAGGCTGTGTTGCAAATGGTAATCCTAAAATTGGTGTACATGAACACTGGATTTCTAGTTCAACCTCTCATTTCTTCAACTTGTCCAATTTTGTGTATATGCTAAGCAATATTATCAGAACCACTGTATGAAGGATGCCCAGATTTTTCACCGTGGTTGTAGGGAGGAGATCTGTGGGACATGAGTGGAATGAAGAATGCACATTTCAGTAGCACATGGTTTGAAATGTAGAAGCAACAGTCAGCTGCACAAATTAGGAGAGAGTTTAAGTTTGCTGGTGAAAGACTGAGTCACAGTGAAACTTTGCATGGTGGATTCCTCCAGTCAACCTGGAAGTGTTGGATTGTTCCTGAATTAGTCAAATACTAGCTTGCAGTTATTCAAGCTTTAGAAGTGTTTCCTGTCAGTACAGACAGGAGTTCTTTTCTCTTGGGATGCCCCATGGGCATCAGTTCTTAACAGTCTCTGTGCATATTCCCAAAGGCATCTCTAATGAAATAGATGTAGATGAGTCCAAGATTCATCTCAGCTGTGGCCTAGTGTATTATATTAATCAATTCTAATCTCACATAGGAGAACTAAAGTGGTGGTGTTGTCTTTCCTGGCCGTGCAGGTCAATCGGACGTACTGCTGTGGCACCTACAGAGCAGGACCGATGCGGCAGATCAGCCTTGTTGGAGCAGTGGATGAAGAAGTTGGGGACTACTTCCCAGAATTTTTAGATATGTTAGAAGAATCTCCATTTCTGAGAGTAAGCAGTGACTTGTGGTGTTTTGTTTAGAGTGCTATGAATATCTGCAGTTACTACATTTTACATATTTCCAAGTAATTATAAATCATAAAGCATTTTCTCTATGGACAGACTTATTGTTTGGGCTGCTGAGGTACGTTCTTTCCTGTGTCCAGACAAAAGGTCCTGAAGTAGGTGGCTGCAGTTAGATGAGTCATTTAAAAATTAAATGTAGTTTATCGTATATATGTGCTATGTAATCATCTACTGCCCTAAAAACTAAGTCTGGTTTAAGTTATCTGGGAATGTGTTTGCCTCTCAAACTTATTTTAGTTTCTGTGCCATTCTTTTGTCAGCATCCGGTTTTACCAAAGGCGTTATTTAATTTTTCTATCTCACCCAGTGTTTTGTGCTATGTGTGTTTTGTGAGTTGTTTTGGTTTTGTTTTCTTGTAGATGACCTTGCCGTGGGGTACTCTGTCTAGCCTCAGGCTCCAGTGCAGGTCGCAGAGTGATGATGGTCCCATCATGTGGGTGAGGCCAGGCGAGCAGATGATCCCGACAGCCGACATGCCCAAGTCGCCCTTCAAACGGCGCCGGTAACGTTTTCCTTCCTGTATCACAGGGGAAGCGCTGCAGTCCTGTCTGTGTTAGATTTGAGAACAAAGCCCAAGTACTTTGTGTAACTCCGTCTTCAGAAGGCTAATTCACAGATTTAAGTTTCAATTTCATTTATTTCAACCTGGCTTGGGTAAGACAAATACGTTATTGGGGGTGGTTATTTTGTTTCGCCACTTTTGCTAGCTGTATGTCCTAGGTCAGTGCTTGCTTAAGATTGAAACCTCTTATTATCCTACAGGAGACTTGTTTTATTCATCTTTTTTTTTTGCAAAATATCATCACTAATTTGGTGTTGGGAGCAGATGAAATGTTCTAAACCAGCAGAGATCCTTACCCTGTTCATGTTGCATTGTAATGTTGGTGCTAAAACACTTGTAACAGTGTCTGCATTCTCAGGAAACAGGGTATACATGTGTACTTGCTGTCTTCTGCAGAAAGAGCGTGCTGTAGAACAAATTCTAGGAGATAAACAATTGGAAGCATATTTTAATTGGAATTTCAAGCAGAATTTCTGGACGTACTCCCAGATAAACTTTCTACTAAAACAGCTCTATTTTACATACCATTAAATTCCTGGAAGAATTATTTCAACACAAGTAAACAAAAAAACTTTTTTAGGTGATTTGATTTGTTTTATCAAGCTCGATCTCATAACCTGAATTGTACTTCGTAGTATTTGGTTTGATCATTTGTTGAACAAACACCTAGAAGAAATCAGAGGGAGGCACTTTGGTCTTTGATTTTGAAGCCTGCAGCACACAACATTTTAAGAGTATTTTTGTAGAAGTATTTATTTTTGAAACATTTTTTAGTATGTCTTCTTACTGTGCTGTAGGTCAATGAACGAGATTAAGAACCTCCAGTACCTACCTCGGACCAGCGAGCCCCGCGAGGTGCTGTTTGAAGACAGAACGAGAGCGCACGCGGATCACGTGGGCCAAGGGTTTGACTGGCAGAGTACAGCTGCTGTAGGTGTTCTGAAGGCTGTGCAGTTTGGGGAATGGTAAGTGCCACTGAAATGCAGCTGCTCCAGTGGGACCAAGTGGTTCTAAACATTTTCTCTCTTAAGTAAATTCCTTGGGAAGCAAGGCTAGCCAAAGAAATGTTTTAAACCCTGTGATGAGGCTACATACCGACTATTTTTCCTCTTTGTAAGGTGGTAGAAGAGTTGTAACAGCAGTTTGCCCCAAATTTTAGTGTCATAGAAAATAACCCTTAAGGTGCCATGCCTGGACCATCGTCTGTAATTGTTCTTTTCCAGAATAGGTAGATGAGCCCTAACTTCTGTAACAGTAATCTAAGAACTCATCACAATTGGTCTCACAGCTACAGAGCTTTCACATTTTATGTACGTAGGACATTGCTGTTGACCTTGCACAGAGGCTAGACTTGCATCATTATTTCCAGAAATATCAGTGGCAATTGGATAGCATCATTAGCCATATCATTAGGGTTTCAGGTGAATAAAAGGTACCAGAACTTTTTACTCTGCTTTACAGCCGTTGCACAAAACCCAGCTCCTCATTGCATTGGCATTATTCTGTCTAACTAAAAATGGAAGAGTTGAGGCAAATTGTGGTTCCTGGAATGTACAGAGAACTTTGACAGTGATTTGAACCCAATTCTCAGACATTTCAGTATAGTATTTGGCCACAAAAACATAACTTCTGCTGTGTGTGCATCAAGAAAAAAACAACAAAAAAAAGAGGAATCTATGAATTATGCCTCCTTTGCAAAATAATACATGTGTTGCAAAGTGATGAGACTGGGCACAGTGTGAAACTGAAGTAGGTTAGTGGTTCAATGAAGCTTTCTGCTGGAAAGACTTGTAGTTCCCTGACTCAAATTCTTTACAAACTCCTGGAATTCTCATCCTGTTCTAGGAGTGACCAGCCTCGTATAACCAAAGATGTGGTTTGTTTTCATGCTGAAGATTTCACTGATGTTGTACAGAGACTTCAGCTGGACCTGCATGAGCCTCCAGTGTCACAGGTATTGAATCTTCTCTAGTGAAAACTTGTTCTTAGCATTTTGAAAGTAGCTTCTGTCAGTTTGGAGGCTCCCTGTATAGGCCTGTTTGTGTCCTTGGTGGCCCTCAGGCCACAGCTCTCTTGGGCCATTTCCCACCTCCTGTTTAAGAATGGAATACTTGGAAGGGACCTACAATGATCATCTGGTCCAACTGCTTTTCCTTTCCACCAAGCTGGGATTTATGATGTGGGTCATGATATATGCTATGGAAAGGGTTAGAAGTTGGTTAAGAAGTCATGTATGCCTGCTTCTGCTTTTTCTGATGTTTTAGGATGTGAAGGCATCTAAACTCAGTCCTGTCAACCAAAGCAATGCAGCCTCGTGTTAAACTTGCTGTTTCCAACTGACAGAATGCTCTGAACTGTTCATTGTCCTCTCCTAAGATGTGCACATTAGATAAATTGTATTTTAAAAGTCCAGTTCTCATTTATATTTGAAGTTTTACCTGTCAAACAGAAGCATGCTAATTTAGGCATGAAGTAGGTTGAAAATAGGTAGATACTGAATTGTTTACTCCGAACAGAGTATACCACTAATTTTGCCATCTTTCCTTCTCTCAGTGTGTTCAATGGGTGGATGAAGCCAAACTAAACCAAATGAGACGGGAAGGCATTCGCTATGCTAGAATTCAGTTGTGTGACAATGACATCTACTTCATCCCCAGAAATGTCATCCATCAGTTCAAAACCGTGTCAGCAGTCTGCAGCCTGGCCTGGCACATCAGACTGAAACAGTACCACCCTGTGGAGGAGGAGTCTCAGCATGCAGGCAGCACCTCCAGCTTGAGCAGCAGTGCCCCTGGGAAGGCGCAGTCGGACGGGGAGCCGCGGTGCCTGCGGGTGGCAGCAGAGCCCCGGCTGCCAGGGGCCGAGGAGCAGCT